TTTTTTTATTTCCACCGCTCCAGGCTTGCTCCCGTGATGAACTACAATCTCAGTACAAACTAGTAGTCCATCACTGGAGCCATTTTTTTAATCGATTAATCTAACTTAATAATCGGCTAACTAATCAATTATGAAAATAATCGTTAGCTGCAGCCCTACAAAAAAAATAACCCAAAAGCTTTTGTAGTAGCAAGAGAATTGGTGACCCCAGCATATGACAGCAAACAATTCGGCATGATTTCTTGTGATCATTGTCTCCTTCCCATATGGTGTTGTATTTTCCCCCACCCCAAGTTGGCGATAGAGGACCATTTCCATCTAAAGGCACCTTGGGTATTACAGGCTACAGAGAAAATATGTGTGATAAGCCTAACTTCAAGAAACTGCTTTAATTTTATACAATATATTTATGTTTTTATGTTTTTGTCCATCGAATAGGCTGGAGGTAAAAAAGCAGCATAGTAAGCTATATTGCTAAAGCAGGCAATAGATGTTACCTGCCTGTTTATGCGGTGCTGCAGATCTGAGTATATCACAGGACTGGCTGATTAGAATTATAAAACCTTTACTACAGTGGTCAACTTATTTGATATACAGTATGTGCGGCTCCTAACACCACATAATATTCAGTGAATGTAATCCTACAGAAAGCTTTCACAGACTGCAGACAGGATACAAGAGATGGTCAGTGACTACTGCTATGCTACAAGAGATAGTCAGAGACCATGGTAATGACCAAACATTCTAAAGGGGTTGTTGGAGTCTGGAGGCAATCCATGGACTGGCGAGAGATTACATGAGACTGCTAGAGATCGCTGCTATTACTTTTCTTTAAAAATCAATGCGTTCACATTTGTGATTAAAAATTACTTGTGCCGCATTTGGTATTTCTTTCATCATGATCCATTAAAAAGTGCTGAAGGGCCACAGGTTGGGCACCAGGACTTCATTTGTTAAGATTGTATACATACATGGAGTTTAAATGCTGGGGTTTTATTCTAAAGTCTTCACTGCAGGTCTAAACTTGTGTCATTGATTTCTGAAAGATGCAAATCTTTCCCAGATACATTCATTATGTGAAAATGTAGTATTGTTGGGTACATGGCCAGCAGGTATCTGTGCGACTTAGTATTGGTATGTAGGAGTGCAGCACTTGTCAGCCCATGCCTTTGCGTTTCTAAATGAATGTAGATTCAGTTCATATATGAAGCTTCTCTCCTGACTGTACTAGACCTTCAAATAATAAGCGGGTGCTCAAAGTGATAGCGCCGGATGGTGCCACACCAAAACTAGATCAAGGAATGCAAAGTTACCAGCACTCCAGACATGTAATTGCATCCTACAGACTTATTGTGAAGAACAGTGGCACAGACATACATACAGTATCAGCATTTCCAGGTCTTTAAATAGTTACATAGTATTTGAGGTTGAATAAAGACATAAGTCCATCAAGTCCAACCTATTGCGTGTATGCATTTATGAGCTGGTGTGTGCATGTATATGTGTCCATGTGTGATTTTTCTCTTAGCTATACCTGTACCCCTGTATATTATGGTCTCCCAGGAACTCGTCCAGGAGTCTCTTGAATGATTCCACACTCTTAGCTGAAATCACTTCCTGTGGCAGCGAGTTCCAGACCTTAACCGCTCTAACTGTGAAGAACCCCCTGTGCCCAGTATGGTGACATTTTTTTTCCACCAATTTTTGGTTGTGCCCTCTGGTCTTTGTTACGGAGCTGACCGTAAACAGTTTGTTACTAAGGTTGCTGTCACCCTTGAAGTTTATACATGAAAATCATTTCCCCCCTTAAGCTCCTAACCTCCAACGAGAACATACAGTATTTAATTTTAACAACCGTGTTTCATAGTTCAGATCCTCGAACCCCTTAATGAGTTTGGTTGCCCTCTTCTGGACTTCCAGCTCAATGACATCCTTTCTGAGTATTGGCGACCAAAACTGGACCACATACTCCAGATGTGGCCGAACCAGTGATCTATAAAGTGGCAAAATTATAGACTTGTCCCTGCAATACATTCCCTTCTTAATGCAAGACAGGACTGCAAGCTATTCTTCAGTCTGCGGTCTATAATGACCCCCAAATCCTTCTCCGTTTCCGACTTCCCTAGTGGCACACCCAGTGTATAGTCCATTTGCCTATTTTCACTCCAAGGTGCATTACCGTACATTTATCGACATTAAACTTCATCTGCCATACAGTTGCCCACTCCCCGATTTTCTCCAGGTCCTCCTGTAATGTTATAATGTCTAAATCTGTGTCTACTACCCTCCCAATTTTCGTATCATCAGCAAACACTGAGATATGACTTCTCACTCCCTTCCCTATATCATTAATAAATAGGTTAAAAAGCATGGGACCCAGCACCGAACCCTGGGGTACGCCACTCATGACCTCTGCCCAGTCTGAGAAGGTGCCATTAACTGATACTCTTTGCGCACATTCTTGTAGCCAGTTTTCTATCCACGTGCACACTAATTCATCTATGCCCATAGCCCTTAGCTTGTATAACTAGCGTTTATGTGGCACCGTATCAAATGCTTTGGCAAAGTCCAGATATAGGTCCATTGGCCTCCCCCATCCAGATCTCTACTTACCTCTTGGTAAAAGGTCAGCAGGTTGGTCTGGCAAGAACGATCCTTCCTAAATCCGTGCTGCACATCACTTATTATACTATGATCCCGGAAGAATTCCACTAAGTAGTCCTTAATAATTCCCTATAACAGTTTACATACTAGGTCTTTAAAGAAGAACTCTGGGTCTACCTACCTCATTTTGTTTATTATTTATTACAGGTATTTTCTGGGGTGCAAATAAAGACGATATACCTGATCCTTGGTCCTGCGCTCACTCCTCTTCTCTCTGCTCCAGCTCAACGCCCTCACGTCTAATGCAAGTCAGTGGACCTGAATTAGATGTGATGACATCAGTGCGCTTTAGACCACTGGAGCCCAGGGAAAAATAGGCTGCAGGGACCAGTCTAGCAACCGACGATCAGGTGAGTATATCTGCTTTATTCGAACCCCTAGACTAAAATAAGTACTTACGCCTTGCAGTCCTGGGTAAGCCCCACCTCAAGGGTTAGTTTTGTAATTCCTGGAGTTCCGCTTTCTGGCCGCTCAGTATACACTGAGTGGCCAGATTATTATGACCACCCCATCAGTACTTCGTTGGGCCACCTTTTGCCTTCAATACTGCGGCGATTCTTCTTGGCATTGACTCCACGAGATGTTGAATGGTGATGCGAGGAATCTGACGCCATGCCTGATGAATAGCACTGTCCAGTTCTGTGAGATTTGACGTTTGTGGAACCAGCTGCCTGATGGCTTATTCAACTTCATCCCACAAATGCTCAATTGGATTGAGATCTGGTGATTGTGGGGGCCACCTAAGCAAGTCAAAGTCTCCCTCATGTTCTTGGAACCACTCCTGCACAATACGAGCACCGTGGCATGGCGCATTGTCTTGTTGGAAAAAGCCATCTCCACTGGGATACGCCATCAATATGATAGGATGAACTTGATCAGCAACGATACTTTGGTATGTTGTGCTATTCAGACATTGTTCCACACTAATTAAAGGGCCCAAATCATGCCAGGAAAACATGCCCCAAACCATAACACTGCCCCCACCAGCTTGAAGGGTTGTACTCATGCATGTGGGGTACATGCTTTCATGCTGTTCCCGCCAAATTCTCACTCTGCCATCTGCATGATGCAACTGGAAACGTGTTTCATCGGACCACATTACTTTTTTTCAATGATCGAATCCTTGTGTTCCTGTGCGAATTGGAGACGTTTTCTCTTGTTAACTGCAGACAGCAAAGGTGTTCGAACAGGTCTTCGGCTTCCATATCCCATACGGTGTAGTGTGCGGCGAACAGTGCGTTCAGAGATCATTTGAGAGGATCCCTGATTAAGATCTGCAGTAATTTGATGCACTGTTGTCCTTCTGTTGTCTTGTACCAGTCTTGCCACTCTCCGTTCTGCCCTAACATTGACTAGTCGCTGACAGCCACAATTTGCACGTTCAGACCCAGATTTTCGGCTGACGGTCCAGTCTTTAAACACTTTAACAACAGCTGCTCTTGAACATTTAACGAATTCTGCTGTTTTGCTGATACTCGCTCCATGGCTCAGAGCGCCAACAATCATCCCACTTTCAAAGGCTGTTAAATTGTTTACCCATATCTTCGGAAAAAAATCACTTCTACTGTCGTGGTAAACAACCTGCTTCCCTATTTATAATGGTCTGGCCCTCTAGCAACTTCAGAGCGAAATTATAGCTAATTAGCCTACAAACATCAGGTGGTCATAATAATCTGGCCACTCAGTGTATATTTCTGTGAAGCTGTTCTTCCCGAAATATTTGTGAGACGCAATGACATGTCTAGAGTGCTGCTGATGTGAAGATAGGTCTCCAGCACTCCAAAATGCAAAGAAAATCTTGTTTATTGCAAATAATGTCACATCATTCAAAAGTGCCAGCGTTTCAGGACCATGCAGGGTCCCTTCCCCAAGGTGACACAGCGGCGCAATGCAAAATCTTTGCATTTTGGAGTGCTGGTGACCTATCTTCACATCTGTGAGGTTCTGCACGGTCCCCTCCGTGGAGGTTACTTCAAGCACCTATCTTATCTACATTGGGCACAACGCTGTATGGTTGCAGCAGGCCCTTTCAACAATTTATGGAGTGCTGGTGACTTTGCAGCCCTTGATCTAAATGAATCCCATCTCTGTGCACATATCTAGCCATTATTTCTGCAATACAGCATGCAAAACTTTACATCTCCATCACTTCTAACATCACTGTATACACAAAGCAGATGGGTTTTGTTTCTCTGATCATTATAAATGAATATTTATGGCTCTACCTAGAGAGGCCAGAATAGAATTGTAGTAATTGCCAGCTAGGAACAGACAGCCCCATAGAAAAGGTTAGGTACTGTGTGCCTTTCTCTCCATCCTCCCTCTTCACCTGTCACACTAGCTCTCCGCCCACATCTCTGCTCCATCTCCATCCATCCTCTCTCCCTCCTCCCAGCTGCTCTCAGTTCCCATTCTGCATCTCGCAGCTGTCATCCTCCATGTTTGTAAGTCTCTGTGTTCATTCTCTATGCATGTTGTTTTTCTTCCTGGTTATCTAGCTAGATATCGTTTTCCCCGGAGCTCTGTTCTATCGACAGTATGAGGGACTATAGGGTTAGATTTGTTTTATATTCTTCTGCAGGGGGGCTGACATCTGATTATATGTCTGCACACAGAACAAAGCATTTCACAAGCACAGATGCTAGCTACCCTTCTAATGTCTATTGTTTGAATGCACTGAAATCTGCCTAATGAATATTTGGTGCAAGTGCATCCACTGTTTTTGCTAGAAATTGGAAATTTAATGCAGTACGTTGCTTTGTAATGTGTTCTTTGGTTGGACCGGAGATGTTGGTGGTACTGCAAAACAAAAAAAAGAGTTTCACTGTCACTTTAACACGTCTTCTGACATATACATTCAAACGTCAGTATGCATATAATACATGAATGTCTAGTCAGGCCTCCCGCATTACCATTATTTCTTCCCATTCACTGGGAATTCATGAACTCTGCTCTCCAGTGGTGTCAGGGTGAAACTGCTGCAGATCCAGGCTCTCTCCATCTAGACACGCAGCATTTTGTTTGCTATGTATAAATTATTCTCAGTAAAGTCTTAGAATGGCCATGGCATAGACAGTCAGATATATCCCAAAAAGTGACAGTTGACCTTGAGCAAGTTTTCAGAGTGCTGGGACATGTCTGATGGGCATACTAGTAGCATTGTTGATCCTTCACTCTGCACCATAGTAGTGTGAAGAATCCAGATGACAATAACAATTCCCTGATACATCAGAATACGCCCTGTTAGTGCTACCGATTTCAAATATCACTTGCCATTAATGAGTCATTATCCCCAGCGCTATGTCAACCATACTCCTATCTATGCGATTGTTCAAAAAAAGATTGTTTCAATATTCTGATCTGATCCATCAATTTCATTTCAATACAAAAAGTCATTTTGACTAACAGTTCAGGATTAAGAATCTGCCATTGCCAAAATGCTCCAAAAATGCTAGCTATCTGGCTGCCATGATGATCCATTGACCACAATGCTTTATTCACTGTACCTTATCGACTGCTGTAGCAAATCTAACTTAAAGTGCAACTAAAGCTAAACCTTTTTTTCCGTTTTGGATAGAGGGATTAGAACACCTGTCATGTTTTGATTGCCCTCTGTGTCCCCGTAAAGGTGCCCATACACTGCACGATTATCGTACGATAATCGTATGCGATCGGTTTTTCGTACGATAATCGAGCAGTGTGAACGGAGACGTGCGACCGTTTCTACTGTACGGTCACACGTCTTCTGTCGAACCAGCATGTTCGAAAACCAGCCGGGAATCGTACGATTCTCGGCTGGTTAGAGCGGTGCCCGGAAGACAAATGCCCCTGAGGGGGGCGGGCTTGCAATGATCGAGAGTGCGATCTGCGTGTCCAAGATAGGCAGATCGTACGTTTTTTTAATCCCTGTACAACCATCGCCAGACTAAAGTCTGGCGATGGTTGTAGAGTGTATGGCCACCTTTAGGGAGATTCACCCTCTCTATTTGTCTTAGTGATTGTCATTACTGAAAGTGAAAGAAAATCCCCAAATTTGGGGAAATTGTCCAATGGGGACAATAGTTCTAATGACCCTGCTGACCACCAGGAGGGATCTCTTCTCACATCCTGTTGTGCCTATCAGACAGGAAGTGAAGGCAAATCTCTCCAATGGGACATATATGGCAAAGGAAAGGAGACGGTGATCATAACTGTCTTTTACTTTATCCAAATCTAAAAACAGTTTGGGCCTCATTTCTACTTTAATGTCATAGCTAAATATTTCTAATACGGCCAAGGGAGTATCACCTCCTATGATATAAGGCAGAGGAACTTTTTAAATGACCCCATTCTTGAAGCATTTTTGGAACATGTTGGCAATGGCAGCAGCCTGCATGTCCTGAGGTAGCATTATCTACAACATCACTGTACTCTATGCCCAAGAACCAATGCATGTGGGCAGAAAGCAAGATTTTTTGAAACATGAGAATCAGGAATCTAAATATTTTGTACAATATTATATATCTCCCAAAGAAGGTATTATATACAGTGGTAGCACTTGCATTACTCTCATCCCATGTTCCTTTTATTAGAGTAGAAATGAATATTAACATTGATTGGGGCCAGTCACTTATATAATATCCATGAACAGGGCCACCATTAGAAATCATGGGGCCCCGTCCAGCCCACCTGACAAGGCCTCAGGCCTACCTGACAGGGCCCCCCAATGCGTTAATCACACGGTTTTGCACAATTAACACATGCTACCTTGCAATTAGCCTACCATGCGTTACAGTGGGGCAGGTGCATTGGTTTGGCATTCATTTGAATGGCACCCCAAACGCACCTCTGAGCGCAATGGACTCGGCCACGCCACAACACACAGTACCGGAGGTGCAATTGAGAGCATTGCAGTCAGAGGTGCATTTGGGTACCCTTCAAATGAATGTTAATGCATTTCCTGCACCTTAACACATAATAGGTGATGTCACTGGTTACAAAGAACCAAGGCGGGCAGGAGCTGGCCACAGCATCTTGGTCACTAAGAGCCGAGTGTGAATATGTATATAGGAGAGGGGTAGAGAGAGAGAAGAAAAGAAGAAAATATTTTTTTTTTAACGAAAAAGAGCCGCCCCACTGTTGACCCGATGGGGCCGGGGCCAGGGCCTGGTAGGGGTGGGCTGGCTGTACCCCCCCCCCTTTGGCTGCCTTATCCATGAATAAAAATTCTGAATGTCTAATAGCAGGATATATTATTTGAAATGATTTGTTAATGAGACAGCTCACTAAAAATGTATATTTTGGTTATCGGTAGAGTCTGTTATTATCACCTTTTGTTTATCATTTGTTGCATCTTAGTGCTGCTGATCGCCTTCAGTAATGTTCTGCCACTTCCTGCCTACATGTACTTGTTCCAGAGTCAGCTGCATATCATTGCTCCTAACTGTGACAAAAGTAATGCATGCCTGAGTACGTAAAGCCCTAACCAGGTGTGTGTGACAGGATGACAATGCAGGAGCACAACTGGGATACTGTTGTCACCCCATGTGTCACCCAACAGGAAGTGCCTAAACAGGGACCTTCATAGCAGGATCACTAGGTATTCTTTTAATGACAGCTACAGATTTAAAACAATTGAAAACTATTTTTGAAATCATATTAACATATTGACGTTTATATATGAGAATTTAGTGGTTAGGTTTAGATTTACCTTATTTTTTTTCTGTATATTTCCTCTTAAAAAACAATATCTACATAGGTAAGGTAAGGTAAAATCTTGTATCACTGCTCATCTGTTCAAATATGTTAATGCTTTCAGTGGTATTGACTCTGAAGGATTTGCGCTGTCTATTGTAATGAACAGTAGGACAATGTTCCCTTTATTCCTCTAGAAGTGGTGCAGCCCTGCAAGTTAGTACCTACAGGGGCTAGAATATCGTTCTAACTGCAGATATTACTACACCAAGTGCCTACTGGCTTCAGCTATGTAACTAGTGCCCTGGAAATGTCACTTGGTGTATATCTTGTATTTCTGTAGTGCTAACATATTACACAGAGTTTTACAGGAAACACAGAACCATTTATCTTAGTGTCTGAGTGTGATGTAGCTTATATTCTTAAGTCCCTATCATGCTCATACAATCATCAACATAATACCTAGGTCAACCTACCACTTTAGATTTGGTCATAAGGGGAATCAGAGCACGTGTAGAGTAACACTTAGAAATCCAACACCCCAATTCTACAAGGCAAGGGTGCTAACCCTTTAACCACTATATTACCATAGTTTTTTTTACTTTCTGGCATTCCAGTTTATTATATTAATGTATGGTTCACAGGCGTGCTGTCAATCTACCTTCCAAACACACATATATCAGTGTCGTTAATTGCGTATATGTAAATATTTCTTTTTGATGTGATGTTTGCCGTTTGTGTTAAATAATGATAATAGATAATGATGGGAATAACAATCAATCCAAATCTAATGAAAGTCATTGTTTTGTATGTTCTAAAAAGTCTGAATTAAAAAAACAATATACAACAACCCCATGAAAAACAAACAATAAATTCCAAGCTGCCTGATAATTATCTGGTTAAAATGATTTTATAAGAACTAAGCAAAAATGGTCAAAAATTGCCCACAAATGTTAAATTTTGCTTAGATAGGACTGGAATGGTCAGAGCGAAACGGGTGGAGAAGTGGCGTAACAATCGCCATAGCGACCCAGGCGGCCGCTATGGGGCCCAGGGCACAGGGGGGTCTGGCCAAGTCATCCCCCTGATGCCTTGCGGGCCGCCTGGGTCGCTATGGTATGTCAGGCTGCTGGCTGTTACTGGTGGGTGTGAGGAGGAACGTGTCGTTGTTAGATCACTAACAATCTGTGTTCCTCCTCACACCCTCCAGTGACAGCCAGCAGCTGCGGTGGAGGATGCTGGGCCCGGTGTTCTGTCGAAAACTCCAACTCGAGATCTTCAACGACCTGACTTCCGGTTTAGTTAGAAGTAAGAGGTTTGGCTGAGAAAGCGTGGACATATTGAGTAGGGCAACTCAGATTAATAAATTAATAGCGTGCTGGATTAGTCTGATCCTAGTTCATTTTAATACTTTATTGCTGTGTACTATGTGTATAGGGAAATGCCGCGGGTGGCGCACGTGCAGTAGAGCCTTCTCAGCCAAACCTCTTACTTCTAACTAAACCGGAAGTCAGGTCATTGTAGATCTCGACGAGTTGGAACTATCGATAGAACACCGGCATTGGCAGTGGAGGAGGAGGCGGGGCCTGGCGACAGAAGAGGAGGCGGGGCCGCTGACATCAAAGGAGGAGGGGCCCGGCGATTGAAGAGGAGGCAGGGCCCCATGCAGGAGGAGGAGGCGGACAGTGGATCGGGGCTGACAGGTAAGAGGTGTGCAGGGGTGTGACCAGCCCACCTGAGACCATGCAGAGCCCACCATAGAGTCTATGGTGGACTCTGCAGGGTCACTCTCAGGTGGGTTGTTTGTTATATCAGGTGGGCTCTGCAAGGGGGTAACTAGAAATCACAGGGCTCCATACAAAATTTTGCTATGGGGCCCTGTAATTTCTAGTTACGCCATTGGCGTGGAGGCACTTTTATTGCTACCTTATATTCTCCCTTGTTTTCTTTCGAAAAATTAAAGCATTCTAACTGCTATAAAGGATTAGGTCTCATAATGATGTATCTGTATTGTGCTGGCCTGGTAATACCTTACATGTCCCAAACAAGAGGTTTTGTCTGTGTCTGCACAAACAGAGGCCTCATTTGGATTACTCATTATAATACCCCTGCAATCCCCACTAAGAACAACAAATGTGAAAATGATAATGATGGATACAACACAAGTCTGTTTTCAATTTCAGGTTAAATGGGAATTAGTTAATATCTTTCGTCCACTTTCATTATGCTGACATAGCAGATTTTTTTGCAGGTGACCATGAAATACAATGACGCCGTCCCTTTGGTCTATCCCTTGGTGGTATTGCTGGTGTGTGGGCTGAATCCATCATTTGGTCACAGTCCACGAAGCCCTGATCGTGTGTCAGAAGCGGATATTCAACGTTTGCTTCACGGAGTAATGGAAGAGCTAGGCATCGCCAGGCCTAGAGTGGAATATCCTGCGCACCAGGCCATGAACCTTGTTGGCCCACAAAGCATTGAAGGTAACTCATAAATGTATAATGTTAATAATTATAATTCTGTAATGTGATGGGAAGCTTCTTTAACCAATAGTGGGGCCTAGAGAGGGAGATGGGGCAGGACCAAGTGCCACTTTACAGAATGTCTAAATATGCATACATCTTTTGTTTTCTATATATTTGGATTTTCTGGTGGATTTTCATGTGCTGAACCTAAATTGCCCTTGTTTGTGACAGCTTTATTTTAAGCTTTTGCTCATATGGCCAGCACTGGAGGGAGACTAGAGCATAATGTTTTCTAAGAAAGGTAATTATTCCAGTCCTTCTGTTAATCATTATCTATCCCAGCTTGACTTAAAATACCCTAAAAGAATAAGCGCACTTTCCAATAAAGTGCCTTATTCTAATACCCAAAGTTAAAATCCCATTCGCACTGCCACGGTCTCAAAGTCACAAGGTATCGTCACTGTCGCTCTGATGAAGGATCCCTGTGCGGACACGTTAGCACCGTATGACAGTATGTGACATTGGGTTTTGAATAAACATATCAATACTTTAAAAACCCTTCAAGTGTGTGCCGGTGAATTTGCATAGTGCAGGTGGAATGTTTTCATCCTGCCCACAAGATTCCAGGTAGTAGTGCTAACTCCAGATTTCACGAGAAGACACTGCAGCACAGAGCAGAATCATCTTCCCAGCATGATTTAAGATTCTTAACATTGCCCAGGATCTCACCGAAAGGAGGATGAGGGCACCCTTGCCTAGGCACCCTGTGCAGAAGTATAATATCTAATTTTTTTTCTTCACAGGTGTTTTCCCATTTTTGTCAGCTTTTCAGCAAGGGGAAGGCATGCCACATTTGAAATGTGATATGTTCACACAATTGGTACTGCAGAACAATACTGTGTTCCGACTGGCCATGCCTGCACAGTTATATTCTATAGAGATGTATGGGGCTCTCTGCTGAGTCCCATATTATGTCATATTCCTGTTAACTATTTAACACCCATCATGAAGGACAGAACTGACAGTCCATCAGATATGCCGCTATAAGATAGAAAGTGTCTTAATGTGTTAAGCAGAGTAATCACACAAACATTTTTTACATGGTTATATTGTTGGGTCAAATGAAGATAAAGTACATGCCCTTTATGTTCAAGCAAAAGACAAAATAAAAAAAAATAAACAAACCAACCTGCTGCTCTTCCAGAGGAATAATAGTCTAATTTGGTCTATCAGGGTAAAATATATCTTCCTGATCGCCAAGAGCAATTAGATACACCCTGGATCAAGAATGTGTGGTGTTATTTCATATAAATATTATGGCCCAGGTATTGTTTGGCTATTTAAAAGCTCATTTTCCCATTTTTAGAAACCATGTACTAGGTTGGATAGATCTGGTTCTTGTGGAAAACTTTTCCACATTTTCACAGCTCCTACTGTGAATAATCATTTCTGTGGCAGGTAACCCTTTTTTCCCACACACAAAGAGTGTCCCCTTGCAGTGGCGTAACAATCACCATAGCGACCCAGGCGGCCGCTATGGGGCCCGAGGCACGGCGGGGCCCGGCCAGGACATCTCCCTGATGCCATGCGGGCCGCCTGGGTCGCTATGGCATCTTGCTCGGACAGCCAGGCTGCTGGCTGTCACTGGCGGCTGTGAGAAGGAACGCTCCGTTCCTTCTCACAGCCGCTGCTGAGTTGGTGACAACCAGCAGCTTCGCAGGAGGTGGCTGACGCCCCGTCCCTTCTCCCAGCCGCTGCTGAGTTGGTGACAACCAGCAGCTTCGCAGGAGGTGGCTGGGCCCGTCATCGGCAGTGCTCGAGGGGGCGGGGCCCAGCTATCGAGGGGGCGGGGCCCGGCGATCGAGGAGGCGGGGCCCAGTGACCGAGGGGTCGATCGTGGAAGAGAAGGAGGCGGACAGAGGATCAGGGCTGACAGGTAAGAGGGCTTGACCGCCCGCCTGAGACCCTGCAGAGCCTACCATAGAGAGTCTATGGTGGGCTCTGCAAGGTCACCCTTAGGTGGGCTGTTTGGGTTATCAGGTGGGCGTAACTAGAAATCACAGGGCCCCATACAAAATTTTGCTATGGGGCCCTGTGATTTCTAGTTACGCCCCTGTCCCCTTTTTTTTGTTTTGACCTTAAAGTGAACAAATTTCCACTAAGTTTACTACATGGCCCATTTATGTATTAACGTTTTGTATCCTCCAGGCCCCTTATTATTTTGTTAGCCTTTTTGCACTTTTTCCAGTACCACCACACTTTTTGTAAACTGGTGCCCCTAACAGGGCTGCATATTGCAGATAACGTTTTACTAATCCTCTGCATAATTGGCAAAATTATGTCCTCCTCTCTAGAGTCTATACCCTGTTTATTACAAATCCCATGCTTGCTCTAGAACACCCTTTCTCAGGCAGAGTTCCATGGAACCCTAGTGTTCCTCCAGAGGTGCCTAGGGGTTCCTTGAGCAATGACCAGTGGTGGACAGATCTCCTGCTTGATGGTGCCTGCATAGTTATGGCACCAACCTGAGTTGGCTGAGCTACCAAGGGACCAGTAGAGCCTTTCCTCTCATGTTTTCATGATGTAATTGATGCCAATGATGTTTTAGCTGTATGGAAGGGTGACCAAGAGGACATTTCTCCATTTACCTCCATTCCTAAAGGTAACGTTTCCTTACTGATCACCAATGTAAGAGGACGTTTCTTTACTGACCACCAATGTACAAATTACTGATCACAATAATATACTGTGCGTTGCAGGTATAATTTAACCAGGGGTTCCCTAAAATCTGAATATTATTTCAAGGGTTCATCCTTGGCTAAAAGGTTGAGAGAGGCTGCTCTAGAAGCTGCAGATTGGCACTGAATGCTGTTATTAAGTCTATAATCTACCAGGACACCCTGATCTTTCTCCATGATTGACTCACGTAGTTTGTCTCCCCCTGGCTTGCATGATGCAGTCATGTTTGTGTTTTAGATTAAGTTCCTTTTAAAAGAGATTTAGATCTCTATTTGATGAAATGTGAGACTCATCCAGATTAACAAACAATAATAACATACCTAGCAATATAGTCTCAGCACTATAACAAAAATAGATATTTAAATAAATAAACAGTGTCAAACAATGGGAACTGGTTAGCTGATAGAACTATTTTTAACTGCTTTAGTCTTATTTGTCAATGTGCTCTTTTCAGGTCATGTTTACTGTTAAACTTGCCAGTATGTCAACTACTACAAATATTGATTGTATGGCTGTTGCTAAGGATGTGATCATCATTGAGAGTCCAGTTTCATTTGCAAACTAGTGGGCCAGTCACAGTGGAGAGCGAAGGACTCACATCACGCCAATGACCAGCAAATTTACACATCAACTTTACACAACTAATTGTTGCATACTGAGAGGGAAGTGTTGCTGAGGATACAATGAACATATGTCTGTAACAGTCATGAACATGAAAAATCTAGCCAACATTGGACAAGGGTGTTAAAGGATAGTTTATATTGCACAGATGATGTTGCTGACTGTCCACGTTTCCATTTATAACAAAACGTTAGAATTACACCAAATCTGCATGTTTCCACTCCCTGAATCCTTGGTGCTGCTCAGGCAGTTTGTGCATTTTGTTTATTGGTAAAGTATATTATTTATGTACTTAGTTCCCCCACTCCTGGTCCACAGAACTAGAACCAGACCAGTGGCGGAACTACCGCCGGTGCGGGCGCCCGGGGCCTCAGGCTCTGGAGGGGCCCAGCAAGTTCGGCCGGATTGTTATCCAGGTCTCTCCGCCGGGAGTGTCGGATCATCCGTTCATCCGACACTCCCGGCCAGTGTTGTAGCGAGGGGGGGCCGGGGGGGGCCGCTGACCTGCGGCATCAGACGCGGCTCTGTATTCG